GGTCAAGCATAAACCCAGTTTGGTAATTAATGATAAGGATTAGACCAGAGCCTTCCTGGGGGATATGGCAGCCCGGAGAAGTTGGTCCAGAGTGTGAGTGATTTAGATACCATTTGGCAGCATGCCTGGGATGACTCACGGGCCTGGTGCCAGTGACTAAGGAGGAGCCGGGCTGCGCATCCGGCAAACTTTCAGGTCAAGAGACTTCGAACTGCCAACTGCCCCGATCCACACGGGAATGAAAACCTGGGAATGCAGGGGCTGAACGCAGCCACTGGGTCAGAAGCTGCACATCCTTCTTTGCAGAAGGAGAATCTGCAAGTGAAAGACACAACTTTAACATGCATGTGCCTATGTGGAGTCGCATAAGTGACAGCATACTGTCTAGACCAACAAGCTGAGCAGTGATCTCAGTAGTCAGAGTGATGGTGACCATCCTAAATGTACTCTTCCCATGCTTATACGGGATGTTCGGGGCAGGGGCGGAGGGTAGTGTAGCACAGGTCAGATCAGTTGTGCCTTGTCACAGAGGAGAGTTCATCTCAGTACAGAGTGAAATTTCTTTTAGAGCCAATAATTTGCATTTAAATATCTGCTGCTTTCCAGAACACCTGACCTAGAGGAGGGCCACGTACAGAGGTGACCAAGGAAGAGAAAGGAGACAGCTGGTCCAAGCCCACCAACAGCTTTGGTGAGCAGAAGTGCATCTCTGGCACACCAAGGGAAGTAGCCTGTGGCCTATATGGGACCAGATAGGAGACAGCCTCAGCAAGGTCTACTGCTTTGTTCCACTCACAACCACATGCCACTTACCCTGAAGAGAACTGAACATTTAGGATGGCCTCCTCAAAACGACCTGTGCCGTACTGGATTTGCCCTTTCCTCATCTAATCTTGCCCTGAACCTCCTTCTTCCCCTTGCCTTCATTCACTGCATTCTTACTCTTAAAAAATCCCCTCAAAATACACTCCTATAAATCCCAAATACTCTCTTCAAAGTCCAGAATGACTTGGAAGCTGCCTGTTGCCCTGACCTCAGCCATGACTTTGAGTAAGAAAGACTGCCCCTAAAGCCCTCAATACCAACCAGTGTTGGTGCCCTGTCTTCAAGGCCGGCTCACACATGCTTTGCAATTCACGTACCTGGTAAGCTCCCATGTCCTATTTTCAGCTTCAGCGGTGCTTACTCTCTGCAGCATCCTTAGGGGACTGCAGCCTGTCTACTCCCGTTCTCATAGAAACAATGCCTTCATTTCAGACAGGTAGCAAACATGGTACTGTTGGTTTTAACAATCCTTTGTTTTATACTCTGAAGACAGTTACTTTCTTTGCCTCTTCCCTTTGGAAATAATAAAATACTTAAAAAGAAAGAACTCATAAGATCCTGTTCCTGTTGACAACCACTCAAATGAATGTATCACTTAACATTTATGACAATCCAGCTGGAAGGAGTCATGTCCATGATTGATGGCTACACTTAGCAACTTCGTGGCTTTGAAAAGCGAAGACTGGATCCAAGGGGATTAAATGCTGGATGACATCTCAATGGAAACCATGGCACTGGGGACATGTTTATACACTGGGATAATGGATGAATGTGCTTCTCCAATGCATAAATATTTAAACTTCACAGCTCTGCTGAAAACAAACAGGAAACCTTTTTTCAAATCAAACTGAAAGGAATAGCACTTGCATGCTAAACACTTGCACTCAGAGCCCCTGGATGGCTGACTTTTGCTGACAAACACACAGCATTCTTGATGCATAAATTGGTCAGAAGTCTATACAGACCCTCCCCCTAACCAGCAATCCTGCCAATGAGGTGTCTTTCCTCCCAAAAGCTGAGAGTCAGTACTTCAAACACTTGCTGATTAAGCTTAACTCCTTTAAGAGACACCTGGACTTGATGAAGACATCTTTGGCGAGGGATGGAGCACCATCAGTACATGCGTTCTGCGATGAGCAGGAGGCAACCCAGTGCTATCCCAGACCATGGCACAGTTAAACTGAGGCTACATATCTTAAACGGGGCTGTATAATATAAGGGAGCTACCAAATTATATCTAAAAATGAAGAAAGATTAACAGCTGAACTAGGACCAGTCACGCAGAATGTACTGAAACCTACTGAACACCTTCACTTTTGTGGTTCCTACATGTCTGTGTCCTACATAGCCCTGTACGCACACAAAGTCACAGAAGGTGACTTCAGAGCCCAGATCTCCTTGGGAGCTTGGACATCCCAATATGCTTGTGCATGGGCACCTCCTGCGTAAGCCACTCCCGTGTCAGTCCACAGGCTGCTGCTTTACCACTTCCCCAGAGCAAAACTCCCAGATCTGCTCTAGAGCAAGCCTGTATCTAGCACAGGGTGCACAGGATTTTCCCGCCAGGAAAATCTGGCTGCTGAACAAATTAACTTTAGCTGTCAGCACGGGTAGGAGGAATTAACCTTGAGGCAAAGAAAAGTCAACATTATCCACAAGGATCCATCTGGTTAGGTTAAGATATTCCCAAATTATTCTTTTTAAACAAGCATCACTGCCTAAAATAAAAATCTAAACGAAACTCCAGGAGCGGCTCTGCTAATCTGAAAACTTGTAGCAATAGACTTTTTATGCTTAATATTTTTATATGGTGGATGTCGATAATTCATCAGTTGCTACTAAATTCACATGTATTTTAAAATAAAACCATGTCAGACAACTTCTGCATTTCTGTAGTCATGTTGGTAGCTCGCAGTTTTCCTGGGCCTTTTACTATATTGTATCATAAAGGATTTTTTTTTCTTTTAACCATTATGCAATTTAAACACATGCTGGGATGCTTTAAGTGTTAAAAGGTGACACTTCTATAAAGAGAAGATTTTCTTAGTTCTAAGACTACATGCTATCCTGACTGCAGGGCATATGAGAGCAAGTCTCTGTTTAAAATAAGAAGTGAGAAATAATTATTGAGAAAAGTCTGTTGTTAAGCATGGTAGTTGTTTAAAACCACTGATTTTACTGGAAAGTCACCTGGAGAGAGAGATTACCGGGCAGGTGATAAAATCTTAGGTGTGTGCAAAATTGCACACAGCTGAAATGTGTGCCCACACAAACGACAACACATCTTTCAGCTCTCTCCAGGATATCGCTTGCATACGTGTATACATGATTCGTTTACCCTACATAAGGTATCTAGCATTGATGACATTAAGACATGTCCTTGGTCCTACACAGCGTCGGACCGCATCTGCATCAACTTTCTCACAGGACCAGAACTGAATTTCCTGCCGTTAAAGAAGAGGGGAGGATACCCAGGCTATGGCTTGTAAAAGTGGCTTTCACCCATGGCACCCCAATGGAGTCTCAGGAGCACCAGAGGGTACTAACAATGTTCAGCCTATCACTGATGTCCGATTTCGTCTCTGCTGCTCTGTTTTTGTCTTCCCTTTGACTTGTTCTGCCTTCTCTCTGCTTCCACAGAGCCCCAAACCGTCTACCTGCCCTGTTAATTCTTTGATTTCCAATTTTGGGCCACCTCATTTAATGACTTTGAGTATTATCATCATAAGAAAGGAAGAAAATCACCAAAAGAGACACAATAGAAAAACAAAGTCACAGATGCACGAGGGTGAGAAATGGGCTGCTCACACCACTCGCCATGGTAATACACAGCCTCTAAATTAAAAGCCCAAGCCTCTTGTCAGAGAGGGATGCTCTTGTTCGGAAGCAACCTCTGAGCACCTTCCTTTTTCCATCGACTCTCTATGGACTTCAGCCTTCTAATTTAGGCAAGAGTAACACGGATCTTCCTCTTCTCTCGGTCCCACACTGGATCCATTCAATAGTGACTGCTGCTTTGAGGCAGTGCAATAAACAGGCAGACCATGAGGGTTCCAGGATGCAACTAAATATTCCTAATGAAAGAAGCTAAACATTCCCTAATCCCCGTGGCTCACCTCTTTATTGCACCATCTCAGCATAGGATCTGTCCTCTTCGGTTTGTAAAAGCCCCTCTGCACATCCAGCAAAGACAACACAAACGCTTCCTTACACATGTGGGCTGAAGCGCTGGGCAGAGAACTGCCGTACAAACGAGTACTCCTGCAGATAAACCTGCTTCTTGATCAATGCCTACTTTGATCAATTGAACAATGGTTAAAAGAAAAAGCACTTTACTATAGGGGAAGCTTACAACTAAATGTGGCATATGAAGCACTCTTCCTGACGTAACATCATCACACAGATGCAAACCAAAAGCACGACTGTGAGGTACCTCACGTATCGGACGGCACAGAGAAACCAAAAGCAACAAATCAAAGCTTGGCTTAGGCTATGAGTGGGAACTGACTCTCTACAATTGTAATTTTGGAAATTACTTTTGCTGATTGAGGAACATTAAAACCAGAAGTGAGCCACAAAACTGGATTTTTTTCATGCTTTTAGAAAAAAAAAGTGTTATATACTTCTGAAAATCATCTCTGTTGTCAAAACACTTAGTGGCCCTGATTATTAGCTACAACTACATTGCGCCAGATGCTGTAGAAACATAAGAAATGGCCATATGGAGAACAGCAATGTTACTCATTTATTGGTTAGCAGAAGGCACCAAAATTCACTGTGGCTGTTTCTTCACCCCAAAAAGCATCAAACTCCTGCATGGAATAACAGGATATGCACCTGTATTACGCTTCTCTGTGTCTGTAGATTAAGAACTGCCACTGCTGTCTAAAAGAAATAGAAGCAGCAGCAGAACAGCTAGATAAAGTCATGCAATAAAAACCTATTGGAAGAAAAGCGTGAAGAACGTTCAGTAGGACTCTACCAAGGATCCTGTGATACCCCCATAATCCCCTTTTAAAACACTTTCAGACGTGACCCGGTTTTCACAGACTAGAAAAATACATTATAAATTCCTGCAATACAGTTAATTTTTGTCATCAGGAGACTATTACAATTATATACAATCCTTCTCCCAAGACAGTACATCGTTTCTTCTTCAGCATCTAGCAACTTACCCTCCAGGGCACAGAAACGTGTCACCTTTTCCGGCATCAGCTTCCCATGCTTGTGCTGACAATATATCTCTGCAATCTCCTGTCGACACTGCTTAGACTTAGACCGGGACATGGCTGAGATTGCCTCTTTGCCAGTTATCTCGCACCTTGGTGGTTGGTCATATCTCAGTTCAGGGGAGCTGTTTCCATTTTTTTTGAAATGATGCTGTCTGGGAGACCTGTGAATCTCCTTCAGATTGTTGTTGCTACTGTTTTTTCCAGGATGATCACTGAATTGCACCACTTCATTTGAGTTCTTCCCCAATAGTGAGTTCTCTTTCACCTTTTCCTCTTCCAGTTTCTTTCTCAAGTGCTCCTTCTGCTTGCTAATGGGTTTTTTCACCAGCTCAGACTGGTGTTTTTGCCTCTGAGTCCTGGGAGCAAAGTTACTGTTATCAATATTTTCAAAGTCCTTGGGGACTGAATTTTCATTATTGCTGTCTGTTCGCATTTTCTCTTTCGGTCGGTGGGAAAAATAGCCGTCCTACAAATGGGGAAAAAAATTATATTCATCTTACTAAAAGTAGTCATATCCCACGCATTACAAGTATTTCTTACATGAAAACATAAATCAACTACAATCCAAGGTATTCAGAAAACACACATTAGGGTTCATAAGAGGAAGCTGGGGCTGGAAAAGGCCTTCTAAGCTGCCAGAGTCAGTGCAGGCAACCACCCCATGCAACCCCCTCCATCAACGATGCTGGGTTTGACACTCATTCTCAGATCCAGCTCTCACACAGAGCTGAATAGGGAAGTTTTACTCAGGTTTGTGAGTAATTATTAACTGGAGAGTTTACCCTGACAGCATTGAAATTAATGGCAAAACTGACACTGATTTCAATGCAGCAACACCAGGTTCTTCAATATTTCTATTATTAATGCAAGGCGTGGAAAAGTTTGGTGTTCCTAAGTAAGTTCTCCAAAAGCTGCCCCATTCCTATATAAAAAGCACCAGTGGACTTTACAGGCTAAGTTTTCTTTCAGTGAAGTAAAATAGCTACAAATTGAACTCTTGCTATTTTGGATTTTTTATCTTCACGTTTATAAGATAATACAAGTTTAGAGATGCATCTGCCTGCGGCTGAACCATTGCAGCAACGCAGGCAGCGAGCAATCGGGGTGTAGAAATGCCCAGCGAGCCGCATGAGGGCAAGTGCAGCCACGGATGCTCGCGCTCCCCAGGAGCTTAGGAAGGTCCAGGCCAAGCTCCTGGGCCAGTGCTCTGCCACCCCCTTCCCCTTCCCCATGCTGCGCGTGCTTCGATAAATACGCAGGTCATAACAGTTGTAACATTTTAAATATACCAAAAAAAGGGAAGAGACCTAAAATGTCTGCCACAAATAACGCTTTGTGTCATAATTTCACCACCCTCCACCTGTTACAATGGGCCCTGTCTCAGTGCAGCAGTGATCGCTGGAGAAGGTAAAATGGGTCCAAACGGTCAAGACACTGGAGTCAGCAAGTGCCTTTTCTATCGATCTGCGCCTGGTATAAGCTTCAGTGCCAGGGTCACCCAACAAACCCAGTTCATGCTCGTGGCTGCTGAGGGAGCAGGTTCTGGGTCCCCCCCCAGCTGGGCCCTCCCCGGCTCCTGGGGCGAAAGTCGGCTCTGGCCTGCTGCTCTTCTACTACCTTTCTCTCAAGAACTGAATCATCTCCAAGATACATTTATTAAACTCAGAAAGAACCGCTGTGCCTGTAAAAGAGACACATTTACGTGATTTATCCGAATGCCCCCACGGTCTGCTTTTGTGTGCTGAGTTTCTGCAGACAGAGGGACAAAAGCTCTGTCAGGCCAGGCCAGGCCGTTTGTCTGTCCCGTCCGGGGTCTGGCCTCCAGCCCTGGCCGATACCTGATGATTCAGAGCCAAAGGGGCGAGAGAGACGCAATGGGCCTGGACAACCGTACAGTGGGGTCTCCCGACCCTTTCAGAAACCAGTTTAGGCCTGAGTACTACGTTTTGATTTTTCCACATTAATATGCCTGCCAGCCAGCTAACAACATTTACCATCCTTACTCGGATATTTCTTACTGACTGCACTTGCTGATCATAATATCTACCAAGCCCTCAGAGGCTACTTTTCAGAAACAAAATTCAGTAAATATATGATGTTTTCCCTTCACACCGGCAGTTTCCCTTCTTCCTCCCAATTATTTATTGCAACATTCGCACAGCCCTTCTCAGGAGATTAACAAGCCTGGTGGGCAGCAGACAATAACCACACTCACACATGGGTCCTTCTGCTCATGTTAGATCTGCTGCGCAACAGAAACACTGAACTCCTCACGGCTCCACTGGTGCCAGCGAAGAGCCCCATGGCACTTCTGTAAAGAACCCACAAAAAAGCAGAAGTTTCATCTTACAATCAAATGTTCCCTGCCCCAAGAAGCATTGAAATCACCCCAAATTTGTGACCGAGGGCTGCCATAGCTGGAGCGTGCAGGGCAGACAAACGTTGTATCCTTAGAGATATTCAAAAGCCGACGAACGTGCTCTGGGCAATCTGCTCTAGGTGACCCTGCTTGAGCAGGGGGGGTTGGACTAGATGATTTCCAGAGGACCCTGCCAACCAGTCTGTGATTCTGTGAAAGACACGCTTTGTGCTGGGGGCACTCTGGCCAAGGCAACTGCGTGGCTGCAGAAACACCAGTCCCAGGAAACAGGAGGTCTGGGAGAGCGCAGGGGGAGGAGGGCAGCACGTCCTCCTCCAGCAGCAGCAGAGACTTCAGTGGGGTTATGCTGAACCGTGCCCTTCATTAGTACTTCCAGCCAGGCGGTTACCTTGAATAAATTTTTGCTGATCAGCATGAGCTGATCAAACTCTCATGGGCATTGGACAGACATGAAAGAAATCACAAATGAAAGGGCAGAATTAGTTTTCAGAAAGCATCAGAATAGTAAAGCATTGGACTTCTCTCAAACGCTAGGGAGACCTGCCTACACGTCGTTTCTTTGAAAACCTCTCCTCGCCAGCAAGGTGATTAACAAATTGAATGAACATATTAACAGGAAAGAGGCAGAAAATAAAAAGAAGGAATATCCCAGCGGTCCTAGAAACAGCAGAGAACCACCCAATGCGCTCTAGGAACATTGTGAAAGATGGGAACAGAGTGCGAGGCAGGGACATGTGTAATGAAGAACGAGATGGGCCCGGCCTGACGGCCTGCCATCGGCAAGGCGGAGCCGGCTTCCCTCTACCATCGGAGCTAGTCCTCAGCCTAGCAGGGGACAAATTTTTTAGACCTAGGGAAGGGACAATATTAACATTTATTAAAGTGACCAGCAGCTGATGAAGACAATGGGGAATTGTTATCAAAACACCTGAGTTAGTTATAAGTACTGACAGACTTTTTGTGGATCTTTTTTGTTTTCTGTCCACTCACAAATACTTCCAATAACCAAAATCAGAGCTTGTCAAACGATGGCATCCCCTAACGATGAGCGATAGCAGCAATCCTCAGCACCTATGAATCGTATTTCATATTGAAAACATTTTACAAACACTAGCTAATTGTTTCTCACACCTCTTCTGTGACTACCTTAGTAGTCATATTTCACAGACCAAAGAGACTGCGATAATGACTTACGCAAGGTCATGCAGGGAGGCAGCATCACTTTGACCTCTGCAGCTTAGCAATGAGAAATCTTTGACTAGTTTATTCATTAGAAGATGCAGCTCTGTGAATACTGCAGTGATTGTCTCTCCATGAATATTCGCAGCCAGCCAGCAGCTGCAGCTATCCGGCACAGAGGCGCGTGTAGAGCCTTTTTCTCAAAAATTTCAAACATTTTTCAAACCAAATAGTTTGATTTTGGAGGAACCACGTCTTCTAAAAAAAAGTATCTTCCTAATTTTTCATGGTGGAAAGTGCACATGAAATCAAATTCATTTTTTGTCTTTTTAAAGGAGAAAAAATTGGCATTTTTCATTTCAGTGAGGGAGCAAACAAAACAAGAGAGTCAGTTTCAAGACAGCCCTCGGTTCTGTTTACGACCAAACCAAAACAAAATTCATTCTTTTCACAGCTCAGCTCCCTTTGCTTAGCTGGTATCTCCACTATACGCTCACAGAAAGAAGAAAAGACCTCCCTCCCCAAGCTGCCACCTCCCCCAAGCCCAGGAGCAAACCACACCAAGAGCAAGACAAAGGTAAAGTTTATCTGTAAACAGAGAAAACATCTGTATCAAGGTGTCGCTACTCTGAGTAATAGGCACTTATTTCCTACGTTTGCTAGTTGGCAGGTTTCCTCTGTTCTCAAACAACTCCAAAATCTTAGGCTAGTTCTGCCAGTTTTACATTTTGACTTGCTTTATTTTAATGTACTTTGTATGATGATCTTGGATTTGTATATGTGCAGCGCCTCCGCGACTCTAATTGTCCTGCTGTTACATTTCCTCTCAGCTGTTGCTGGAGTTCCCTTTTTTCCCCTCCTCAAATAATTAAATACAAAATGTCCTTTGCTCTAGCTCAACTATGGGCATAGGTAAAGCAAATTCAAACAAACGAATAGCAAGAGCAGTTCTGTGATACGGACTGCACGGTGGTGGGAAGGGAATCAATAAACCCCAAGCCCATTTCAGGAAATGACATTTACTATTTCCAGACCAAACAAGAATTTTCCATGGAGTCCAGTCTTGGATTGGAACTACCAGCGGAGGGCAAGTCTAGCTGCGTCTAGTACATGCAGCCACGTAGACAAGAGGAGCACACTCCGTAAGGAGTAAGGATGACTGCAAATGCATTCTGCCTTTTTGAGATGAGTTTAATGAATAGCATATTCACAGTTCCATATATATATGTGTGTGTGTATATATATATATATATATACACACATAAAATACAAATATATATACACACACATAAATTGCACAGATTGAGCAGGATCAGACTGAACCCTCTGTGATTACATGTGAGCACCTACATACTGTTCACTTTTTTACTGGCAATAAGTGCTAGCCAGCCTTCTAACACAGGCAGGAGCACAGAGAGATATCTGCCGTGGCACCACGGATAAATGTGACAACAATTAAATATTATTTTTGTTTCCTCCCCTGATCATATGACACCAAAATACAAGAGGCAACCAAGATGCTCTCAATTCCAGTAAAATAAACACTATGTCCCCCACACAGCCTGATTTATTCTCTACATGTAGTCCTTAAACTTTAACAATTTAAGCATGTGAAATATGAAGGAGGACATGAAAGAGCAAACGAGAACATTTTTTTTGCTGCCATTTCCACAACAGCAGCGTGCAGGAGAGCTACTGGGAGACCACTTTGCAGTAATCCAAAGCATCCCCATGGTTAGGTTTCATCTTTAATATAGTTTAAAGCACTTTTTGTCTGTAATTGGAACATTCCATCATGCAATACTTAGGGCCAAAATACCTAGATGCAACGATGCGAAAAAATCTGTCTTTTTCATTAAAGTCTTTCCAAGGTCTCTAAAGGCAATGCTGCAATAGGATATTTCTGT